AATGTGCAACTACTTTACTTAATTGACCCTCCATCAAGAACTCTTTGTATTTTCATTTGGGAATGGCCATATGACCTCTTAAAACAATTATAAAATGTGAAAGGGGATGGACCTAGGATTTTTTTATTCCAAAAATAAACCTAATAATTCTCATTATCAACCTTTTAGAAACAAAATCCCTTTCTCATATCAAAAACATTATCTCCTACTTATCGTCGTCGTCATCATCATCATCATCATTATCATCATCCAAGCCTTGTCTGGACTATTTAGAATTGACTGCATGAATCTTGTTTCACCATTCTATTTTGTTTTATGTCATATCCAATGTTAAATCATTTCTTACTACTTTAACCTATTTCCTTTTTTATCTACCCCTCTAATTCTTTTAGACCTTCGACTTGAAGTAGATCCCTTCCTCTTAAGGGTGTTGTCAATGGTCTTCTATGCACATAACTAGGCAAACTATCTTTTATTATACCTTAGTCTACTTTCTCTCATTTTATTATTATTAGAGGCATACTCTTAGTTTCTTAGAATGACTTCATATTTGGCCCTGTCCTATCTATTTTTTCCACTCATCCATCTTAGCTACGCATTTCTACCACTCAACTTTTGGGCATGTTTTTTCTTGATTGCCCAACACACTACATTCAATGTAACTGATGTTGCAACCATTGTATAAAGTTTTCATTTTGATGTAAATGGTATTTGTTTATCACATAAAATTCTGAATTCACTCCTCTAGAGGACATTTTCTTTCTTAATTGTTCAATACTCTACTCCATCAACATTACCGGCCTTACAACCGTTTTATAAAGTTTTCCATTTAATCTAAGTAGTATTCACCTATCACATGAAACCTTGGATTCACCCCTCCATTTTTCCCATCTTACTCTAATTCTATGGGTGGCATCCTCTTCAGTCTCTCCCTTATGAATTATTGAACCTAGATAATAGAGAAGGTCACGTTGAGTTAACTCTCGATCACCAATCCTTCTTGCCCTAATTTTCACTCTTGTTATTATTAAATTCATATATTATATTCTATTTTAGTCCTTATTTTAAAACCTCTTGTTGTTAAAGTATTTTCTCATAAACATTTGATCCTTTATTAGTTTCATCAATTAAAACAATTTCATCAACAAATAATATGCACCAAAAGACCTCCTCTAAAATATGATTAGTTAATTCATCTATGATCAGTGCAAATAAAAATGTTATTTCCCATTGTCGCCTAAAAAAAACAATGATAAATAAAATGGTAGGTTTGAATAACATGTGAACTAAAGTAGGCTTTATTAAATTTGCAAAACTATAGGGGTGTATACATAAATGAACCTATTATAATAAATAAGCCTTGAAAATGAAAATAAATTATTTGATAGGATATTGATTTGGAAGTGGTGAACCTACCTCTAGTTATCTAGGTCAACCAAATCAAAGGTTTTTACTAGGTTTTTGATCCGAGTGAACGTTTGATTATGTTTCAACAGGATAAGGGTTAACTTGAGCCAATATTATGACCATGTGACAAATTGAACAGTCCAACCAGATTGAAACATGAGCTTGAGCTCAATTCGACATAAAAACATAAGGCTCGAGTTGGATTCGTGTTAGAAACCTGAGCTTGAATTCTGCTCAACTCAAAAGCACATATGTTTGAGTTCAGTTTGACTCGAGCTCAATAGGAGGTCAAGCTTCATATAATAAATTAATATATAATATATATATATATATAAGTTATTTTTATTATACATATAAATATTTTAATATTAACTCAATTGGGTTCACCAGTTTTTAAGTTCAAGATTCGTCAAACTTAAAATTGGCTTGATTAACAAATAAGCCTATATATTGGGCTTAAGCCGAACAAAAAACTTGATTTGGATTGATCCAAATTAAACTTCTCACAAGTCGACCCACTGCTCAAAGAATTTTACACCAAAGCACATCTAAGCACCCCAAGAAGCAGTATGATGCAGCTAGATCTGGTATGGAAGGAGTGAAATTAAATGGAGGGGTAAATTCAAAGTTTGTATTTGTGATATGTTAACCTTTGTCCTGCGATGCAGCCAAGACTAATGAAATTAGGGCTTGTTTGTTTCATCTTAATTCTTATCTCTTAAGAGAAATCTTTTAATTTTAAGAGAAAAATGGTTGTTCATTTTCTCTTATTTCTTATCTCTTAAAGTGTAATCGTACAAATTTTTACTTTCCAATGATACCCCCAAAAGACAAAAAAAAACTCTCATATATGGGGTCAAAATGGATATTTGATAATTTTTAGAATTCATAATAACATTCTCTGCATTCAGAGTTCAAAAAAAAGAAAAGTTTACCAATACCAATATACCTCTTAACGTAATTATTGCACTTTCAAATGCCAAACTTCAGAGCAAACGAACATGCCCTAATTACCATTGATCTCTGGGTGAAAATGAGAAATTGGCAACACAAGTTTGTATCTGCAGACTGCAACAAGGAACAATAGCAAGCTGTCAATGAGTTAGAAAGGGTGAAACATAAGCTACACTCCATCAACCATGGTTAGTATGCAAACATGCCATCTCAGCATCAAAAAGCCTTTCACAACTTGCTTCTCAGTTTATCTCATCTCTTGGCGAGCAGATTCTGGGATGTTTCCTCTCTTTCTTTTTGCTAGGGGTGAGTAAGAAAAACCGAAAAACTGAATCGATCAAAACTGAACTAAAAATTCTGTTAATCGAATCAGTTAGTTCGGTATTATAAAAAAACCGAAGGTACCAGTTTGGTTTTGGTTAACCAAAATAGAAAATCGGCGGTTAACCAAACCGACCAGTATACATATATTTATATATATTTTATGTATATTTATGTGTATTATATATATTATATACATTTTATATTTTCTATACATTATAAATTAATAAATATGCATTATATATAAATATATAATATTATATATATAATTTAGTGTTTTATTGTAAATAATAAAAAATCGATGAACCAACGAATTGAACCGATCAACTGGTTAATCGATCGGCTTCGGTTCAATTTTGATTACCTCGGTTTGGTTTAAAAAATAAGCCCATAGTTCGATTAACCAAACCGTGAACACCCCGACTTTCTACGTATCAATCAATAGTAAATTTAGTGATGTATTGTCATGATATAGATATAGCAAGCAACTGAGGAAAGGCTTGTATATTTTCAGTTTTACTGAGACAGTCAAATTTTTCTAAGGGCCTAGGGCCTAGAGTGATTTGCTCCCTCTTTTATTTGTTGGGGCATGCGTAAAGTAGATTCTCCTCGTAGGAACCCTTGTCCTCTCATCATCTCAGTACCTTTTCTGTGCTTTCTTTCACATTAGGATTTGGGCATAAACTATTGCAGCTTCATTATATGTACCACTGAGAAATTCTAGTAAACAATGAGCCTGAGCTATTCCATTCCACGCTCTAGAGACATGGTGGGATCCATGCAATGAACGCCACAAGCCAACGCTGGACATGTCTAGTAGAATTCCTGTATAATATTCTGTATGGGCTTCCATGAAATCAAAGAACTTGTCAGGATGAGAGGACCAAATGTTTGTAGAAATGCCCCTTTAACATGGTCGTGTTAAATTTGCTAAACGAAAGGAATAGCATCAGATGCCTCCATTCCCCACATCTTTCTTATAAATATACGCTTTGGAGTGGTTTGGTCAAAAAAAAAGTATCTTCATAATGATCAAATGGGCTACTTAAACTGTTAAACATGATTTCTAGTGCTGGTGGAGTCAAAAGCATAAGCACTAATGGGTCTACCATTTCCTTCTGTTTTTTCGAATCCAATGAATGAATGTTACTAGAGGAGATTGTTGAGGTGGGCTCCTAGGGGTTATATAGATATGTGGCCATTGGTCTCTCTGTGTCTGAAAAGTTTGGGTGAAATCTCTTTTGTGTCCTCCATCCTCCAGGGGGGAACCCATATGTCAGTGACATTGGAGAGTAATATCAGAGAATCTGAACTATCCCAAGAACTAATCACATCTCGCCATTAATCTCATCACTTTGCATCCAAAGCCCTGCCACACAATGTGAGGATATGTTTTCCTTCCTGCTCCATTTATTTGTTTGGATATAAAATATAATTTTACTTTGGATGTGTTTGTTTCTATGTAAAAGAGGTAAAGCATAAACTTTTGTGATATAACTAGAATTGATTTTAGAGACTGAAAAAAAAAAAAATTGCCACATCTACAAAGAACTCAACAGAACCGAACGTTGTGTTTGGTTTGACAGAAAATAAAAGAGAAAAAAAAATGTTGTCGGAAAGGTTGTTAATAAATTTTGTGAAATTTCTTAGGCTTCGTTTGGGAAGATGCAAATGCTGGTTCAGTTCTGCTAGTGTTTGGCAAGAATGCATTTGTGTATTGATAATGACAACAAATACAGATTCTAAGACATGTTTGCATTGAAAACAAGAGCAAAGTTTGCATCTAAAAAGTGGATGTAAACTTTGCACTCAAAGTTGATCAATGTTAAAAGGGTATATTCCAGTCTTGGGACATATTTTCACCAATTAGAACTAAAAACCGTTTATCAAGAAAATAAATTTATCAATGCAAATTGCAAAACTAAACCAACTTTGCATTTGCATGGACCAGAGTACAGTCTACATATTTGTATTTGCACTCTTCCCAAATGGAGCCTGAACAACTTTCCCTGAAGTGTTTCTCTCAATATTCAATCAAACCAAATACAGCCCAAATTAAAATTGGGTGAAGTAAAATCTGGCAAGAGGGTTAGTTTTTTCCCACTATTTGCTCACTTTTTTGTTTGCTTGAAGCATGGGAAATACCTGTAGAAAATACTGTGTTCTTAAAGGAAATATTGTTGGCTAGGGTTACCCACTGCTACAATGTCAGGGAAGAGAGAGGAGGGAGAGTAAAAGCTCAAGTGGCAAATACGATTTTCTTCTGATTCTCTGAGTTGTAAATGCTCAAATGACTAGGAACAGCTTGATGCCCAGAGTTGATTTTCACGGATTGACCAAATAAAATTTGAGTGAACCAAATGAATAAAAACTGTACAAGAGTAAAATTTTACTCCCCACATTTGAGTTCCAAATTTTACTCCTCAAGAAAGAAAGGAAATCTTTAACATAAGAAACTATCATTTGGACAAAAAGTTTCCTCTTGTAGGTGGAGTTATGGATTCTCCAGGGAGTTAATTCCATTGTTCATATATCAAGTTTATGGTCCATTCCGTATTCCAGCTGAAATGCATGTTAGTTCTACGTGCCAAATGACCAAATCCTTCCTAACAAGCAGCCAAGCACTCACCAAGTCACCCTGACAGCCATCTATGCAAGTTCATCATGCATGAGCCCTGCTCACACCTTCCAACATCTCCTGAGCCATTTTTGCAAGCACATTATCTGCACAAGCTGCACAATCTTAATTCTAAATTCAACCTCAATGCATCAACCAGAAAAAGGAACAGAAAGAAGAAAAAGAAATATAAAGAATCAACCATTTAGTTCCACTATGAATTTATTCATCTTCTTGCAATCTCTCATGCTTCTCCTAATTGACAATTAAACTCATCTCTTCTTTCTATGCAAGCTCACCCCATTTGGCTCTGTTTTGCTTGTAACAGATCCTCTGGAATTCAAAACACCCACCCATTCATCACTCTCAATGCTTATTAATTACATTAATTTTTTCCTTTACTTCATCTAATTTGACACCCTTGTAAGAAAGCTTCATGGTGATCCAAAGTAAGTAACAGTAAATCAAAAACAGGATATGGTAGATTACATAAAATTGCAGTAATTCCTTCCTCATTGACGGGGATAACAAAGTAACACTCTTGTATACGATTCTCTGTACATGAGTTTATCCTGCCCGACAGTTGCAGGCAAAAATGTTACAAAGGGGCTTCTAATATGAGCTGCATCGGATAACACGCGCAAGCTGGTTGAGATCATTTTCTTCCCCTCCTCCTTCGGATTTGATATCTCCGGAACACATGGACCTCAGAGTCCTCTCTATTTGGTATCCTCCTCCTATGCTAACTTCCCTCTCTAGATGACAGCAATAGCTCTCAAACACGCTTACATTAACGTGCAATCTGAAACCCATCAAGAATAGAAAATCAACCTCTAATTTGTTCATCTCCTTGGTCGTTAATCCCCCAACCTTCGCAAAGTACGAATTCCTATAATTCCTGCGCGAAATTGGAGCGAAGAATTAAGTAAAGAAGAAAGAAACAGTGAAAAAAAGAAAGAAAGAATTGATGAACTTAGCAACTCACATGTCTTCAACAAATTTGGAGGCCACCATGATGGTGGTGATGAGAAGCCTATATACATTGCTTGAGGTGATGCGAAACTCAGGCTGGATCTGGCACAAGCGATCAATGTAGACATAGGCAACGACGTAAACTGGGGAAGCAACCCTAGTGTAGCGAAAAATCCTCTCGAGAAAGGACTGAATTGTCATGTTTGGCACCTGGCAGCATTCGAAGACATGAATTCTAGCATCTTTCGGCAATGCCCATCTGCATTTTCCCGAAATCCGTTCATTCCTAGCAATGGTTCTCTCGAGGAGAGAAGCAAGAACAGAGATGACCAAAGGGGTGCTTGAAGTCGAATCTTCTTGGGACGAGAAGGTGTAGAGATCAGAGCGAAGTTTTCTTGGGGAAATTGGAATTGGGGATGAACCCATTGTTGCTATAGCGTTGATTATCACTTGCAGGGTGGAGGAAGAGGAGGAGGAGAGGAGACGTGTCTGTCAGATGCTGGAGCTCTGAGAATGACTTTATACCAGAATAAAGAGGGTTAGATTTTCATTTACTTTGGGCGAGCAGTGAGCAGAGTGGGATCAGTCTTAGTTGTGATGTGAATAAAGAAAAGGGAGGTTATCAGGGAATGGATCGATCAATGGAAAGCGGTTGGAAAGGAGGATCGATCATGTAAGATTACATGTCTCCCTCTTGATCTTATAAAAGAAATTCGCCGACAGTGGGTAGGTTTTAATGTTTTATGTACGAATAACGCAGAATATTGCTTCTGATATTAATGTTTTTATCTCTAGCACCGTAGTAAGACTGTAAGAGGTAAGAACTAGGAAGGTGATCCATCATTCAAATAGATATTACCTTGGTTTTGTTTGGCCCACAAATCCATCAAACAACTAATCAGTGGCCCAGATGGGTCAGAAGAAGCCCTAGACCCAGGCCCAAATGCTGTATGAACAATTGAATATGGGCATTGTATAGAGGAGATTTGCCATTGTAGAGGGCAGATAGTAGTCATTGTTCCTCCAAATGAAGAACCCCATACAAGGGCTACAATGTTGGGTATGCAGCAAGTCCTACTATACATATTGTTTGGGTTATGATTGAACTAGCCCCGAGTGCCACATGTCATCTCTGCGATCGCTTTATCACCTCGTCTACGTTGGCACCATGTTATCGGATAAGTGAGACCAAGATAGGAGAGCATCATATGGATAAGGAGGACAGCTACGTCGGGGGTTAGGTCTTATCCCGAAAAATTTGGCGGGCAACCTCATCCCAATAACCCTAGAAGCCTCATCCGAATTGGACATGGATCTTCAGCTATAAGTAGGTTATCTCCACTCAACATTGCTCCCAATTGTTCGGCCCGATCACCTATTATTTTCGACTAACTTGAGCGTCGGAGTACTTACCCAGGGAATAGACTTGTTCATGGGCCGGGCCGGGTTGGGCTTTTACTCTTCATAAACAGGATTTTGTTAGGCCCAATCCCGAGCCCGACCCAACCAACGGGCCTACAACTTGGGCCCATGCCGGGCCCTAATAAAAAGCCTGAAGCCCGAGCCCAAGCCCGAAGCCTGACCTAACAAAAAGATAGATCGGATGCTTGTGTCTGTGTTTGCTGTCGGTGCCTATGTCTGTGTCTGTGTTTGCCGCCGACCAAACAATAAGAGAAGAATAGAACAAAAGGGCAAAGAGAAAGGACTCGCTGCCGATGCCTGTGTTCGCCGGTGCCTGAGTTCACGTCTAATAAATGAATTGAGCTGAGATTCTGAGAATGAGAAGAGGAACAACCGAACAATGAAGAGAGAGAGAGAGAGAGGGAGAGAGAGGATTCATAGCTGGTGCCTGAATTTGCATGACTCGCATCTGATAAATGAGCTACTGAGATCAATTTTGAGAGAAAAGGAGAAGTGAGAAGGTGAACGAGAGAGAGAGAGAGGACTCACCAGTCACCGCTGGAGTTCACTGGTTGTGCTGGTTTTGTCTTCCTGAGAAAGTTTGGCTATGTGAGACTGTGACCGAGAAGGGAGTTTGTTCGGCTAAGAAAAAGAGATGAGTGATAAGAGAAGGGTTGAGAAGAGAGGGATTAATATTTAGGGTTAGGGTTTAACTTATACAAAAGTCGGGCTGGGACGGGATTTTTTAGCAAATCCCGAGACCGACTCGTAAAATAATCGGGCTCAGGCTTTTAGGCCCAAGGTCAAGCCCGCGGGCTAAAATACATGCTCAAGCCCGTCTGGGGGCCAGCTCGTCAGGCTGCCTGGCCTATGAACAAGTCTACTAGGAAATAACTTCTCGGGCTTCTAACTGTTTTTTTTTTTTATTTTAGTTCTTGCTGCGTGACTCTATATTTCCACCTCGGCCTCGTCCAGTTGACAGGACTATCTAACTACAACCTCAATTTAAAAAACCTTAGATCGAAAAACATCACATATATTTACTTGATTTTAATCAAATTATTGGAATTCATGTAAGGCTACTTGTTTTACTTGATCTTACATATGTGCATAACAACACGTGCTCTTTTACTAGTTACCTGTATTAGCAAGTCAGTCGGTGTTGGTAGGGACCATGGTTTAAAGTATCGATAGATGTGATACGCGCAATTCGAGGGAGCGACACGCATGGTTTGAAATTGTTTCAGGTTTCAAATTTTGTACCATGCCTATCTCTAGGATTCTAGGAAGGGTATTTATTATTGAATATGGCCTTTCGTCCTAAATCCTGATATTTGGCATTTTGGTAGATTCAATGATCTGATACGTTGGGATATTTTAAATCTTGGTGGGACTGAACTTTGCATGAAGACAATGCAGGGTGTATATAAGGTCCAACGGCTTTTGGAATGAGGCCAAATGGCAATTGGCAATAGTTATTGGGTCGTCGGCATTGGCACCATGGTATGTGTACAGTGATATAGACATCTCTGTCAAGGGTCTCCGGGCAGTATAAAGGACACCATCTCAATTTACATCTGGATGCTTTAGTAAAGTGGCATTGAGCAATTATTTTTTGTCCTGAATTGAGTTAGCAGTTTTGTTATTGATTTACCTTTTATCTGGGTATCTCAATATGCCTTTATATAATTGTGGGAATAGGGGTTTGGAATTGGAATCAGATCGATCATTCTGGTTTTAACTGTTTGATTGGGTGAAATTAAATCTCATTTCTATTTTTGGTGGAATGACATTCTCTCATTTAAGAGAACGGTCATTCTCTTTTCCTCTTTTAGGAATAAAATTTAATTTCAGTTTATTCTAATTTTCATTCCGATTCTTGTCTGGACCAAACAGATCATGGGAATAGATCATTCCAATTCCAACTGCGAATCAAACAGACCCTAAAATTATATGGGGCCGTTTACATGAATCCTGTTTCACTAATCCACTCTGTTTGATGCCACATCCATTGGTAAACCGGTAAATAATATTATAGATCATAGGAAAAATTTATAATGTAGGAAATACATGATACCGGAAAAGATTTGACTATTCAAAACCTCTTGTGAATTTCCATCTACATTATATTAATGAATATATTTTATTTAGAGCATAAATTTTGAAGAATAATATTATGAGGCCCTCCAAGGGCTTCACTAATTTAATTTAATAGAAAAAAGAGGTAGAAGAAATTCAATGAATTTGATTTTTTTAGTTGGTTTTGATAGATAGAAAGAAAAAAAAAAAACAAGTGATAGTCATGTAACTAAAATAGAGAAAGAGGAAGGAGATATGGACGAGATTGTGCATTGATTTGCAAGTTGCAACTAAGATCCATACTTATCATCTTGCAGGTCTGGACATGTAAACATCAAATCTCTCTTAACTAAAGTTTCCTGAATCCTGAGAGGATTCGTACTTTAATGAATCATTTTCTGATATAGGCCCATATGGGCACAAGCCTAACAAACTGACAGACAAGGAGTCAATGACAAAACTAAAGAGAGAAAAAAATCTTAACCTCTCACCTTAAAAAATATATATTATAAAATAAAAATAAAAAACTTACTTCTATTCAATCTCTTGGGCCTGGGCCCATGGAGATTTCACCCTCAACTAAAATACCTTTTCCAAGAGCACTTTGGATGGTAATTGGATGGTGATTGACTGACTGATTGGTGATTTTAACGACCATCTTCATGATAATGAAAAATTCAAACAACCAATAAAATAAAGGCAAAATTTATGCTACATCTTGTGCACTGTGCAGCAAAAGATGTAAGGATTTTTTATGCTGCACTCCACCTCACAATTCTGATTTAAACTGTTAATTCAAAATTTAAAATAACTTTACCTATAACACCTATACCTGTCCGTAAAGTGACATCAATTCCGAACTGGCATCTACCCCAATTGTATAGTGGAGTTAAAATTTCTGAAAATAGACTAAACAGTAAAAACCCCAAGATGGAATCCATGATAATAAGGGCACCTTGTAAAATGTCAAAGTACTACACTTTGTGAAATGTGAATCAATAAAAAATAGGGATAAGTGGACTGCAATCCACCTCAAAAATCTAAATTATAGCCCCTTCCTAGTCTATTAGTAGCCCCCCCCTACCGCATACTGCCCGTAAATTTAGCATCAATCCACAGGCAGGATTCAGTTTATCCCTAAAAATCCTAACTCCACCCTAAGAGTGGACTGAACTATAAAAACCCTTAAAAAATAAATAGACTTAAATATAATTGATTAAGATTTGGATTTAACATACAAACAATATTAATAAATGCATCATAGTTGAACTTTATACATATAACCGTGTAATGGGATTTCAATTTCAAAGCAATTACAACAAATACAACAACAGAGTGTAGGCTCCATCAAGCCAATGAGAACCGGCCAGATCGACCAAGTATCTGTGCTTTTATTATGTGATATTTAATAGTAGTCAAATGAACTTGGGCCCTACGGTTATCCAAATCACAGAAATGCTCCACTATTAACATTCACGCCTGATTTTGTGGTCTTTATCATATACTTGGTTTATGTCACACTTAATCATATAATGAGAGCTATTGGACAATATTGTTTTCAAATCCTTTTCACTTTGATTAAATGGGGTTGTTGAAATGTCACTGTACAAGCCTGGAATTGAGAAGGGAAAGAGTTTCCCTTAATTCTGTTTGCGTCAGAAGTAGTTAAAAAAGGTTAAAAAATGACCTTTTACAAGAGAATGGGACAGACTTAGGCACAAAGTCAGTACCCATTTGATGAAATATCGTCTTCGTTTGGACAATGTCATACTCGTGAGCAAATGAGACACAGAAAAGATGATTCTTTGGCTTAAAACAAAGCAAGTAGGAGAAGCAATTTTGCAACTATTCCAAGCTCTTTTCTTTGCAACCCAACATTCAAGATTGTGACATCAATTTCTTTTCTTACAGTCAAATGAATTATTCATCAGGCTTCAATTACATATATTTCTGGCTTACTTCTTAAAATTTCTCTTGGAAAACTAGAAAAGAAAGTCTTGAAATGAAAAAGAAAAACATTAACAATCAATTACCATAAAATGAAAAAGGAAAAGGTTAAGAGTCTCTCCCTCGAGTTCGGCTTCCATTAATGCCAGTTCAAACAGCTTTTACAGCCTTGCATTAGGAATATCTCTGTACTTATGTGTTTTATTTCATGGAGAAATATTCTCGATGTAAAGTTGCAAGAGGCTGTTGGGATAGTGTGAGCACGAACTTGCCCTGACCGAAGCCGATGTCCTCTCCCT